ATATAACGACTTGGAATCACTGATAAATCTTTTTTACAGGTTCATAATAATGATAATGAACTTAAACATAAGTTATACTTAAATCACGATAAGCATAACTCAACTTACAGCTGGTTTAGCGAAAAACCGGACTCTGTACGGGCAAAACTTCTAAACCGAAAGGTCTATTTCTCGAGGCTTTATGATGCTCTGGAGCTTCGCTACTAACACTTACGAAGTGCTAGATATAGGCATTGAGGCCTTGGGGCCGGGGGGGGGATAAAATGGAAATGTGTGAAGAAAAAAGTGAAATTCGTGTTCTATTTATAGGCTGCCAGGAGGCCCAGTACGCTGGGCGTATGCAAAGTACGATGGGTGTACTAGGGGCCACGTGTCAGCATATGGTGGCAAGCCGTGTGGAGGAAGGGGGTGCACCAGATCGCGACACGTGTCGCACCGAGGTTAATCCGAAAATTAATTATCTTCTAAAATTGATAACTTTCGCATATGAGCTCTGTTTTTGACGTTATTTATATCCATGCGTAGCTACCGACGAGATCTATAACTTCCATTTAGACTCTATCGGCTAAATTTGACTTTATTTTTAAAGTTATATTTTAAGCGGCTTAGACAGTTAAAGTCCGTTAAAAATTCATAAATTTATCATCCGACGTCCGTTTTCGGATGTCTTTATATCGTTGAGATCCTATTAATAAGATCTTCAATTATCATTTAGATTGTGTCAGCTAATAATCGATCAACCTAAAATTCGAATTCTGAGTTGTACACTATTACGCTGAATTTTAGAAAAATCATAACTTCCTCAAATGAAGTCAGATTTGGACGTTTTCTATATGCACGCTCTCGGTTTAATGAATACTATGACTTTTTTTAGATTACTAAAGCTAAAAAGTAATTTATCAAAAAATTACTTTTTACGATATGCGGAGCCGTGCCGGTTTATTCGTGAAACTTCAATGGGTCATAACTTCTTCGTTATAAGTCGGATTTCAGCGTTTCTTTATATGTGCAGAATCCTTGTGACCTATACTATAAATTTGGTTAAGATTATTTATTCTAAATAATCTTCTATCAAAAGTCATTTTTAATGTTTATTATCTCTAAATTGACTACCCCGAATCTGCGGGTGTTATAATTAGGTGGGGTACACCTGATCCCACATCGACTAGGAATGAGAACTAAGCATTCCTTATATGGGGTCTGGATACCTTTCCTATCACAACGTGTTTTAAAACCGTGAGGGCAGCAGATTCCATAAGAACTCTATAGTTAAGCGTGTCCGGGCGTGAGCAATCCAGGGATGGGTGACCGCCCGGGAAGTTTTCATGTCGGGAGCCTAAAATGGACAATATTGTGGTATGTGGCAGAGGGGGATGTTACAAATGGTATCAGAGCTTGGGCACATGTCAATGTTTTCGACGGGGACATCGAACCCTATAATGGGGGGTGAAGGTGGGGTACTGATATGTGCATATTTAGTCATATATTTTGTCTAATATCTTAATACTTTTTGGCTATTTTGTCTCAAATATTGAAAAAAAGGTACTTAATTGTGTTAAAATTTTATTTTCAGCCTAAAAGACGTGCTCGGGTGAAAAAAGAAGCGGGACTAGTGATCGGAAGTTCGGGAATTAAAGTTAGAAGAATTTAAGCTAAAAAGATGAAGAACTCGGCGAGTTGGTCCTCAACTCGACGAGTTGATGATAAGATTCGCGAACCATCAGGTGCCTTACCGTGCACGGGATTTTAGTGATAGACTCGTCGAGTCGGTGTATGGACTCGACGAGTCGCCCCTGTTTTCAGAAAAAAAATATATAAAGGGCATTATTGCCCGAGACCCTAAGTTTTTCTGGATCTTTTTGGCGACTTATTGGCGAATAGAAGGATTGTTGAAGCTCTATAATTCGAAGATCAACCCTAGAGATCAATTTGGAAGAGATCAAAGGCAAAACACATTCTATTTTCATAATCTTTTGCATACAATTATGTTTCTATTATTGGATTTCGTTTTTGAGATGCTAATTGCTATAGATATGAGCTAAAAACTCATCACATATGTTTAGGGTAGATTAACTTGTGATTATGGTTTGATTTTATGTTTGGGATTAATTTTGATTTGTGAATTGCCTTGCTAAGCTTGTTAAAAGACCCTTATGTATTGACAATAATTGTTTTCTGTTAAAAATCAAGTTGTTGAGATTGCATGAACATCTTCTTAATTACTTGAATCATATGATTTTGTGAACATAATATTGTATGCCTAGTATTAGTGATCATGAACCTATGATTAACTAGAAAATAAGTACATCAATGTGTAAGCATGTATGATGAACAAACATACATGAGTTGATTAATTTATCCAAATTAGTTAACCAACATTACAAGTCTTACTTGATCCGAATCAAAATATTAGGAACTTATTAGTTTAACCAATTGGCCACTGTTTGAATTGATTTGTTTATTAAGGATTAGTAATAGTGAACATGAATCTAATAAAATTAAACAATAGCCAATGATAAATTAATCCATTGCACTTGTCATAAAATCAACCATAGGAACAAGTGAGTTGAACCTGAACAAAAGTCTCTTTTATTATTGAATCTATTGGCTTTAGTTTTTAATTGTCTTAATTTGAGTGTTAGTTATCTGCTTAAGTTTCTAGTCTTGCAAAACTAGAGAAAAAACCGTCTTTTTATTACTTGCTTTTATTTAAGATAATTCTAGTAGTTAGTTTAATTGTTACCATTCCCTGTGTTCGATACCCTGCTTACTTGAACTATATTGCTAATCGATAGGTACACTGCCTTTCGTGTATTTAATTTGTGTTTAAAATAGTAGGAATAAAACTAGTGCATTTCACACACATCAGGTACACCTGATCCCACATCGGCTGGGAAGAAAAACTAAACATTCCTTATAAGGGGTGTGGGATACCTTCCCTATCACAACACGTTTTAAAGCCGTGAGAGCAGCAGATCCCATAAGAACTCTGCAGTTAAGCGTGCCCGAACGAGAGCAATCCAGGGATGGGTGACCCCTAGGAAGTTTTCGTGTCGGGAGCCCAAAGCAGACAATATTGTGATACGTGCCAGAGGGGGATGTTACACAAAGTCTTACACAATTGACTTCCGGTCCACGACCCAGAAATGGCAGGAAACGGGATGTTACACAACGATTTTATAGATTCATAAATTTAAAGAAGCATTGCTATTGCTATTATCGGTTATGAAGAATTAGAGATTATGATTTTTTATGAACCTTGTTACCATCAATTTTTAGCAACGATTTTGAGCAACAATAACGTGGACTCTTAGTAGTGATTCGTCGACTCTTAGAAGTGATTTATTGTTTCGGATTGTAGATTAACAACCTAGTTTGGGTTTTTTGATTTTCAGATTCTAGACGATGGAGACAATGGATGATTCCGATTTTGATTTTAGATGTAATGGTGATTTTGATGTTGGGTGTAATAGCCATTTCAAATAGGTTGGTTTCTGATTTTAGGTGTGAAGGAAAATGGTTGAAGATCAGAGATGATGGCAGTGATGGTTGAAGAAGTCGATGATCAGGGAGATGAACGATGGGGTGGGGTAGGGTGGTTATTCTTTGAAGAAACCTTACCAAGCTCTGACGAAACCTAGCCTCTGACGATGGTGGTGGTGGTGGTAATGGTCGATAATTGTGGTAGGGTGGAGCTGAAAGTGATGGTGGTGGTTGGTGGTTGTGGTAGAGTTTCATAAACGGTCATTGATTATATAATATTTTTCATGTTTGGTGAAGGAGAGACTTGTTATTTTGGAATAAGTGAGGGCTCAATAGTCAAATTTAACGGCTTAGGGACCATTTTTGTAATTTCGCCAAAACACAAGGACCGAGTTTGTCTAATTTCTTAAAGTTGGACTTTATGTGCCTATTAAACTATACTACAGGGACTATTTTTTATAATTCTCTCTATATATAAAGATTAAACTTTTTTGAAGAAGTCAAGATTTGGTTCCTGATGAACATGGGAGTTTGGCATCAATTTGTTTAAGGTGTCGTTTTCTATGTAAAAAGTGACAAACTACAAGAATTCTGATTTTTATGGAAAATAGGGTTGTATAAAATGTTGGGTTACCTAATACACGCGGATTCACAATCGCCTATTCAAATACTATGAGCACTCTTTATAAATTTCTCCGTCAACTTCCATCGATAAACTCTAATGCATTTGATGCAAAAAATAACAAAGAGGTCACATACGTATTAACTTTGTGTTATTGTGAAATTGTGTGCCTCTTAACAATCAAACTATGTGTACCCCCACCGTTTCTCCTTGTATATATTGAGTTGTCAAAAAGCATACTTCTCCTTGTATATTTTTTTAATATTTGATGCAACATCACACATGTGTACGTTCTTTTATTTGCGAAAAATAACATCATTTTATTTATTTTTACATATTGTTTGTGACATGATGGAATAAAGGCAACTTAGTTTCTATTCAAAATTGTTTGATACAGTTATCATCCATTTAAAGCTTGATATTAACAATTTTCCAACAGAAGGTTTGCCATATCTGATGTTTTTATCAACTCTTTTTGCATGCATTGATATTTTTATTAATGTTTTTTTATTTTATACATGTAGCTGTATAACAATTAATGTTTTTTTGTTAACCCATTGGAATTCAAGAGTATAATGTTTAAAAAATGAAAAAAAAAATTAGGAAGTAGAAATGAAAGTTAGATGTTGTAGTTAGACAAATATATGAAAAGACATTGTTATAGACACATGAAAAAAAAGGTCATAAGTGAAAAAAGAAATGAAGTAATCTCAAAACAAATGTCATAACTCATACGTGAACAAATGAAATAATCTCTCTAATATAGAGAATAGGGCTCATATACCCAACAACATTCCCGAAAAATTCAAAAAAAGTGCAGAAGATGAATATACTCGATGAATCAGAAGAACCAAACACCCAATGGAAGAAAGATCAATGGGGATGATGATGATATCTACCAATCGAAATCACACTTCGTCCTTTGAAATCCCGGAGAAGAAACCACGCCGCCGGAAGTCATCGGAATCTTCAACTCGCATTCAAACTTCGGTTTGAATTTGGGTTTCGCCCACCCAACTTTCAACCTCAATCGAAGCCTCAACTTCAAATCGATGTTGTACACCCCATCGTTTCTCTCCCTATCATATTTAGATCTATCACCATTTCCTAGCACCACCACTTGTTCTCCGACGAACTCCGTGTTAACGTTATTCTCCCTTTTATGCCCCAAATAAAACCCATCTAAATTCCTGGAAGCAAACCTCTTATCATAGTACTCAGCGTTGGCTTCGATTTTATCGTAGTAAATCCCAATCCGTTTATTAGGGTTCCGGAACGTCATATTCACAGCGAGATTGTAGTAGAGAGTGTTGTTATCGGAGGAAAGGTTGAACTGGGTGAGAGTAGCGTCGTTGACATGGAACTTCGGGGCGTTGGGACGGAAGATTAACCAGAAGACGAGGACGGCGATCCCGAGGAGGACGAGGATGGTGATGAGGATTTGGAAGATGAGATTGAAGATGCAACCGCAGAGACAACTGCAGCACCATGAAAAGGGGTTGCAGCTTCCGCCGCCGCGGCCATGGCGGTTGTAGGATCGGGATTTTTTGGACGGAGGTGGGATTGATGGGCCGTAGTAAGCTCCGTTGAGGTGAGAATCAGATGACATGATTGAGTTGCAGAGTGAGTTGTTTGTGAAGAATGGAAGGGATTAAAGGTATTTATATAGAATGGGTTTTATTTAATGACGCGTTGAGTAAAAACACGGGGTGGTGTAACCGGCGACTAGTTTGGTTTGAGTTACGTACTTAGGTTTGTTTTAACATCACCTTCCTTGTAAACTTCCATCTCCTTGACTAGGTCCTTTTTTTTAAGAAAAATTCTTTGTGTTTATACTTTAAACTATTATTTATGATCGTTAAAAGTTAAAACCAATATATAAACTATCAAAGTTTATGAGGTTGTTTTTTATGGCAAATCTAGGATTTTTTTTTCTTTTCAAATATGTATGTCAAACCCACCCATTATTTACTATATAATCTTTTGTGTATGATGATTTTTTGAGAAAATAACATAGGATTTAGACAAAGGTGCAAAATTAATTTTGGTGGTTTATTGTTTAGTTTTGACAAAATTACATAAATGTTTCGTGTGGTATGGCGAAATGGCCATATATAGTGTAGCTTCAAGAAAATGGACTAACTTGGTTCTTATGTTTTGTTGATATTACATAAAAGGCCACTCTGTCATACGGCGTCAATAAATTGTTGTTAAAAGTCTCTCACGTGAACAACATGTGAGGGTAAAATCGTCTATTAATGAGGTTGGTTCCATTTCATTTATTTAAAGTCCATACATATCGTACTCTCTCTTTCACCTCTCTTCTCCAGCAGTATCGGAAAATTCTTCTTTTCAAGAACACAAAAAGACGACGATGGTTATTTGCTTCTGTGGTTGAGGCATTATAATTTTGATATTGTGGACTAACAACATGTTGGATTAAAGTGTATAAGTTCATAACTAAATATGTATATTCTTGTAACTAGAACTTGGTTAAAATGACATCTGTAGAGAGATGATAAATTTATTAGTTTATTATATGATTAATAAATTATAATAAATAATTTTTTAATATATTATATGATAAATATATTAATTGAAAATAGATAGTTAATTTGTTAATTTATTATGTGATTAATAAATTAATGCGCGATTAACTATTAAATAATTGATTAATTAATTTACATGATTAATAAATTAATGTGAAATCAATTAGAATTGATTGATTATTAATCATAATTAATCTAAAATTATTTTGGGATTAATCGGAATTAATTAAAGGTGCAATGACTGAGTGGTAATTGTTTAATAGTTGAACAAATGAGAGGATCTAGAAATCTCCATCATATGGACGGTTTTAAGGACCCTATTAGGGTTTCTAAAAGCCTCCAAATGATAATTATGAAACTAAATAATTGTTTGATTTGAAATTTAATTATTATATGTTCAAATTTAGGGTTTCTAGGGTTTTCTGGCAGCTATAAATAGGACCCTTAGGTCAGCTTTTTTCGTGACCTTCCTCGCCTAGAGAATTCCAATTTCTTATTGTTTTTCCTCTCTCCTCACTAGTCTTCTAGTTCTAGGGTTTAGGTGTGTGTCATTAGAGGCATAATCTTTTTGGTGCTAAGCTTTCCAAGACCAACAATTACAAGGGGTTGAAGTGATTTGTTTACCACAACAAATCAAAGGTATGTAACCCGAATTCCATGTTTTCGATTACATTAGGGTCCACACTAGTTTTTGTTGTTTTTTGTATGTTGTCTTCAAAGTGTTATGACATAAATCCTTTAGGTTGCATGTACCCTTAGGTGTTAAATAAAATTCCGCAGGCACATTGATTTTGTAACCTATAAAACTCATCACAACAACCGAGGTCAAAGGTTTTGGCTCTGTTTAAAATCTGGATCGAAGTGCTCATTCATTGGATGGGTTGACCCACTACTTTGAGGTTGTTACGGGGAAGAAACTGTTGGATTAGGTGTCTAAGCCCATAACTATAATTGGTATGTACTTGAATTGATAGCAGCACAGTCCTTTTGGGTTGCCCTCAGCCTAGCAACTGGACAAGGAAATTATGAAAGGAGAGATATTAATTATAAGATTAATAATTAATATAATATATTATATATATATATATTATATATATATTAAATGATTTATAATGTAATAGATTAATATATTAATTAGAAATCATTATGTTTAATTAATGTTAGCCAGAAATTAATAGAATTAATTTTGGGGTTAAAGAATTAATTATAAAGTGCAGGGACTAGTTTGCAATTAACTAATAGTTGAGTGGAAGGTTCCAGAACCCCTTTGGAAGGAGGTGGACGAAATTCTTAGGGGAAACCCTAGAGATTTCGTCCAAGGGGTCCAAATAAGGCCTTTAGATATTGCTTAGGCCCTAAGCAAAGGATAACTAGGGTTTTCCCTAAACCCTAGATCCCTCAGCTATTTAAGGAGCCTCCTGGCTCACATTTGAGGTCACTGATTTCTTTGGAAGAAACCCTAAGGCCGAAATTGCATACTCTCTCCATCCTCTCTCCTACTACTTTCCTTCTTGCTAGTTATTGGGTGTGATTCCATTAGAGGCATTACATTTGTGGTGCTAAGCTTCCAAGAAGATCAAGATCAAGATCAAGAGGATTATCAATTGTTTGCTATAACAATTGAAAGGTATGTAACTCCTAAACCCTAGTTTGTTAATTTCGAAATTAGCCTCTCTCCTCTAGGGTTCTTGTTTTGCAATTCAAAGTTGTATGTTCAATAGTTAAAACATAGATCCAAAGTAGGTTGCATGTGAACTTAGGAATTGTTTTCTAGTTTATTTGTTTTACCTAAAACCCATCAGTGGTATCAGAGCCATTGTTTGTTTTAAATTGAATTGCTATAATTGTTGAATTGCAAATTAGGGTTTATAGCTATTAAACCCTAAAGGCCAAATTTTCGCAATTAGGGTTTTGGATTGAAGGGTTTTCGAAAACCCTAGCCTCCAAAGAACCCTAATCGAAATTAGGGTTAGGGTTTTGAAAACCCTAGCCTCCTCCCTTGTAAATTTCGAAATTGCTAGAAGTTTTAGGGTTTCTTGTTTTGGATAATTGTTACTTAATTAGATTAATTGGATAATTATCCTTACCCTATTTTTCGAAATTTAGAGGGATAAGGATTAGGATTAAATTAATTGATTAATTTAATTAGATAATCCTTACAAGATTTAATAATTTGATTAATAGTTAATTAAAAGATAAATATTAAATCTAGTTAATTGGTTTATTTAAATTTAATTTAATAGTTTGATTTCGAAATTTATATAAACCCTTGAAGTTTTAAAATGTTTTAAAACACACCCTTATATATGAATTATGATTAAAAGTTTAATATTATATATGTATAAGAATATGGTCAGTCAAATCGCTAGTATGCCTCATTCACGAAGCTAATCTATAAGGGGGGTATAAGGAAACTGCCTATAAAATGGTAGTTGAATGGGTGTCCACTCTCACCCACCGCTTCCTTGATTAGTGGAGGGTCGTTAGCAGAACGGATTTGATAGGACAACTACTTCTCATTAAAAGTATAATGATATTAAAGAAAGTACTAGAACATTATTTTCAAAATCCCAACTCTAGTTACTTTAGGAAAAATGTGAAAAGTATGCTAATCCATGAAATTGCACATTATGCTTTATTGGTCGTTAGTGGAGCGTGTGTGGTTAACCAGCACACTAAAAGGCACTAATAAAGAGTAGTAATGGGTATCTCATAATTGTCATTTTGATGGAGCGTGTGTGGTTTACCAGCACATCAATAGTTAATGATAAAGACAATGAGGTTACCAAGCACATTTGCATGGTTATTCACATCTTGTTTGTGATCCTCGGCATCCCAGTCACAAATAGAAGAGCATAATCTGAGATTAAAACATGCCATTGAATAGTTTCAATGTATCTCAAAAGAATTAGGAATTTCACTTCGTTTGTTTCGTCTAATGGTGGAATTGGTGAATCGTCATTCACCTACCTTTATGAAATTTACACTTGGATCTCGGCATCCCATTTCTAAGTTGTGAATCTTCATAGTTGGATCCTAACCTTGATATTTATCTTTGGGTTATTATTATTGAGGTATCTTGAAATCTAACTAAAACTTTCTTTCTTTTCAGATGTCTACTCCTGGAAACACTTCTGCTTCGTCCTCCTCCAACCAAAACTTCTCTTTGCTCAATATCTGCTCCAAAGTCGTTATGGATGGCTCAAACTATAACGATTGGATGCGCAACATCAAGATGGCTCTTCGTTTCGAGAACAAAGAATATGTTCTTGAAAAGGAGCTCAAAGAGCTTGATGAATCTGAAGCTACTCCTGAAGATCTTGCTGCCTACAAGAAACATTACGATGATGCTACCAAAGTGGCATGCATCATGGTGGCAACCATGTCCCCAGAACTGCAGAGGTACTATGAGGACTACTGGCCTTTCGAGATGAACAAGGACCTTATGGAAAAGTACCATAAGCGAGCTCGTCAAGAAAAGTTCAAAGTAGTCAAGTCACTCATGGCTTGCAAGATGAAAGAAGGGGAATCGGTTGTGTCACATGTGCAAAGAATGCAACGCTACATAGAGCGTTTGGTCAAGCTCAATATTCACTTTGATGAGGAATTGGCCATTGACATGGTCTTGAACTCACTACCTGATTGTTATGGTCAGTTTATTCTAACTTACCATTTGAACAATACTGAGCAGACCCTAGCCCAATTGCACAACTTGTTGCAGACAGCGAAGGCATGGATGAAGGGTAAAAGTATACCCTCCACACCTGCAAGTGCCCCTGTTTTGGCTATTGGACAGGGAAAGGGGAAAAAGAGGAAAGGTCCTCCCAAGCAAAACTGGAAGAGCAAGGTTCAAGCTGGGTCATCTAGTAATGGCCCAAAGGCTAAGCCCAATGGTTCCACCCCCCATGTTTCTGATCCAAAGGAGGCAGTTTGCTTTTACTGCAACCAAAAGGGGCATTGGAAGAGATCTTGCCCACAATATCTGCAAGATATCAAGGATGGCAAAGTGAAGCCATCTTCGGCAGGTATTTACACTATTTCTGCTAATAACTCATTATCT